CCAAATTATGCTACGCCTTGTGTGACTTGCTGTGCTCTATTTCCAGGAATGGTGTGTAGCCCCTCAGTCCAAGAGAGGAACTGATGGAAAACAAGGCTGTACTGGTTTCTCTTCAGGACATGGTTTAAAAATATGAATGTACAAAATTAGGGTTTGGCAACTCAAATTACTGCAATTAGTTTAATAAACTCATTACTAGAACCATTTTTTAACTTTAAATTGATTTGTATGATCCTGACATGCTTGGAACTTATGGGGTTTTTTGAATGCTGTAAATCATTGGGAGTAAGGTTTCACAGTCAAATAGGTTTCACAATAAGGAATGGGTTTTCACAAACCTTTCTGTGAGATGTGGGTGCTTCAGCTATCATACTGGAATCATGAATTGTAGTCCCTAACACAGCTAATGAGCAGTGATTTTCATCTAGGGAGGTGTGGGGTCAGGTCCTTGAATAACAGGCTGACATAACTTCATTGTATTTAAAAGCTGTATACTAAAGGCTCAGACAACTCCTATGTTGAGGAAGCAGAGTTTTAGACATTAAAGCAAGGCACAGCTTTGTGGAAAGTGTGGCTGTGAACAATCCATTGGATTACATGTGCTTATAAAGAGGGCTGACCAGGGTGATGCTCAGGAAACGAGAGTCTGTCGCTGCATGTCAATCTGTAGCTCCACAGGGAGACACCGTGTCTGCTGACCTGTGCTGAGCTCAGGGCACGTGGCCAGGAAAGCATGAACCATGTCCTAGGAGAAGGCCCTGACCACTTTTTGATCCTGATTGATATCAGTATGTGCCTGCCTGCAATAGGGAGGTGCGGTTGGTAGAACTGTGCACCACAGCACTCCTCAGTGGCAACTGGTGGGCACAGGATTTCACAATAAGGTCTGACTAGATGGAGGTACCCTTGATGAGGGGGGGAAACAGGTCACTGGCTTTTCTGATACTCGCACTGCAGCACGAACAGAAACTTGTCACAGTTTTACTTATTTGGCTTTCAGATACATATAAGCACCTTTTTGCATCCTGGAGAGGTTTTGTACTTTTTTTCTGGGAAACATCAGGATTAAAATTTTGGTGTATGTGCTATTACTACTGACTTGTGGCTCATACCAGCATGTTTCTGGCTTTTCATATCTCTTCCGTATAAGAGGACTCTTGTTTTTGCCTTTCTTCATCCTCCCACCCAGGCTTTGTGCTGAATACAAATTTGGAGGCAGCTTGTAGCATTATGCATTTAGCTTTCAAAGCAGAGACTGCGTGTCTGTTAAATAATTTTGAAGATGCACCTTGAGGAGATATGTGCTTGTAGGCTGAAATTTCAAAGATTGTATTTTGGAAAAAGATCCTTGTTGGTTTAGTATATGTATATTGTTGGTCACTGGTTTCTAGTTTATGTACTGTGAAAAGATGAATTTGACTAGGAAGGATTACATATATAATCTTTTGTTGAAATGTATCGAACTAAACTTCTAAGATGAATGAAAAACATTAAAGTTGCATAGAGAACTGTAACTTGAAAGTGCCCTTCAGAGGAGCAGAACTGGAGACATCTTTATAATGAAAAAGGCTATCAAAATGTCTGCAGTGAGGAACATGTTTATGAAATCGAGGTTAAATATATCTCCCCTTTATTGTTCCACTGATTAGTCAAGATTTTGCCCTATTCAGAGACTACCATTACTATTTTGATAAACTAGTTTCTACATATTATTTCTCAAAAAATGAAAATACTATATTGCTATTGACATTTGAGCAGTGTAGAGAATTTCACTGGAAATTTTTTTTACTCCTATGGTTGTGGTTATCCTTTCTTTTGTTATTTTCAATTTTAATTAGAACCTTTATTTCAGACATTTGTGCTTTTTATAGGTTTTCCAAAAGCATTTGAGACTTACATAACTGAGGCACCCTATATTGCAAGGGCTACTAGATAAATTCTGTATTTTGCAAAGAAGCTCAAGATTGCAAAATAATTTATAATCAACTTCTTACAGCTTGTTCAATGTCTAATAAATGTAGGTGTGCTTTTATAGGCAGTAGATAACCATTTGCATATGGCAGGTGTAATTCTGAGTTGAGGGGCACCCTGTTATGCCTGATAAGTAAATTCTTGTGATGTTGGAGGGATCACTGAAATTTTTAGTACTAATACAGTGTGATTTACTTGTTCCCTGTTTTTATTTAATGGTGTTGCTTATTCTACCCCTCAGGTGCAGTCTGAGCACTGCTACGCAAACGCTTTTTACCCTTTGTTAGCTTTTCCATCTGAGAATGGAGGGATTAATTATATTATTTTCACTTCTTTTATAGACTTAAGTGTATATATGTAATTATGAACAAGCAGAATGGTCTAAAGTGTCTGTGGTAGTGTTTTGTGAAAACCAACCTCCCATAATCCTAGCCTTTCAGTATTTTCACCTTGCACGATGGCTCCATTCATTATCCTAGGTCCTTAAGAGTGTACGTCCCCGATATCCATAGCCTTAGGTAATGCAACTTTCTCCCAGGTACAGTTTGAAATTGTTTAGCCTTGTTGTTCTTGCTTTTGGAATTGATCAATGATACCGTCCTAGTGTCTTTAAGATCAAGGTGCATACTCTGCTACTGTGTGTTCTCATTATTCTGTTGGTCAAAGTTTACATCTTTCAATCACTGCTTATACTGTTGAGAATTCAGGATCTTTAATCAGTTGAAATGTATTAGTCCAGCATCAAATTGAGAAATAGTGGGACCTGTCTGTCTATGCTGAGTTATGCCTGGCAGGCTCTGATCTTTTTTCCTTCTTTTTATTTATTCTGATAAATTAGTTCTATCTGTGTTCATTTTTAATACTTATAGAATATTTTGAGGAAATATTTTAATAACTAAAGCTCATACGAAATAGTTTTAAATCTTTTTTTTTTAATAGCAAGTGCATTATAGAATCATAGAATCATTAAAGTTGAAAAAGACCTCTAAGATCATGTAGTCCAACCATCAACCCAACACTACCGTAACTTTTAAACTGTATTCTGAAGTGCCATGTCTATATGTTTTTTGAATACCTCTAGGGATGGAAAGAGTCAAAAATGAGAAAAAACATGGTATGTAATTCCACAGCAAACTGTCTTGCTTTTCCGCTTTGTCTGAACCTGCTCTGCCTCAGCTTTGTCCACCCCAACCTCCTTCAGCTCTAGTAGCTCAAGCTAGCAGGACCATTCAGTTTTCGTGCTCACTGTAGGCCAACTCCTTTGGCTTCTGGTTCAGTGTCAAAAGCGGTGACGTTTTTATGCTACGCGCCCCTGCCCACCAGAAGCTCAGTTGTTGTGTCCTTTCAGAGACGATAGCAGGTTTGGTCGTTGCTATCAGAGAATAGGTAGGAGGACCTGAAGAGATGAGTTTGGCTGAAGATCTGCAAGATAGGCATTTAGTGTTATAGCTATTCCCTGAAACCATACAAGTTTTTCTCCTCTTCATCCCAGCACAAGCATATTCAAGTGCTTGGTCCTAAGAAGAGGAGGTTTTCAGAGCTATAAATACAGGCTGTGGGCAACTCCAGTACAGAAGAATGTCTGTGCAACACAAAATATTTTAGTGAAGAGGGAGAGACGAATTACAGTATGTGTCCAGGCAGGAGGAATGGGGAAAGATTAACTGGATACCCTTCATGTGGTATAGCTGTACAGTAATATAACAATGTAAAATGCAGAGTGATTTTAGGAAAGGAATATGAAAATATAGGTTTAATGATGACCACGTGGATGTCTTTTCTAGTAGAATCTTTTTTTTCTTTTGCAAGGCAGCTTTTAAGTGAGAAACTTGCTCCCTTCCATTCCGCTTTGCTGAACCTGTTGACTGTCCCTCCCTGTTAATTCTTAGGATTTCTACAGCTCGTTACCTGTCTGCTGTTATCAGGATGCCATTAATTATCTGATGACTTCTGCTGTTTGAGGTAGAAGGCAGCATGCTACAAGCAATACTGTTAGCAATACTGTGTTGTACTCAAATGACCAATTAGGTGGGGTTTTTTTGGAACAGGTTGCTCAAGAGCTTAGTATGTACCAAAATGTTTTCTGTGTACAGAATGTAAACCCACTTCAGAGCAAGCCCAGCGCTAGAACTAAGATGTTTGCATTTTCCAGTTGTGCGATTAAGCAAACAGTTAATCTGAGATTATCTTGTTAGTCCCATAAAATCAGCACATACTTCTGGTATTAGATAAATATCTCAAATCAGCAGACATCTTCCTGTAGTGCCAAGGATTTGCTAGTATATTATTAATGAGCTTGATTCTCCTGAGCTGGCCAGAGGGTGAAGGGAACATATAAAGAGAAAGAAACACTGACACTAACTGCTGATGTATGTTGTTAGTAATGAACTTTTCAGGTATGGTTCTTGTAATTTAGCGTGATCTAACCTATAATTACTGTCAGAAGTTCTCAAAGTTATTTTCCTCACCAGATCTGAGTGGAACACACTTACAAGGCCCACTTCTTGGTGTATTCTGTATATTTGAAGGAGACATAAGGAGATGCTTTGATTATTCTGTATTATGAAGAGATTTCACAGCAATCCCTTGCATTGTAGTGCACTACAGAGCATAAAAAGGGAAAGAAAAGATTCTACAGTAGTTTTGCACAGAGGATCTACCTGTGTGTGAGAGAAAACATGCAGACTCGCTTGGTCATCAGGATGCTTAAAAAATTATTTCCAGTAACACAATATACACGATTTATGCTTTACTCTGAGTGTTACTGTTTTATTGAAGAAATACACAAACAAAGAGTTTGAGCTTTATAACATGCATCTAAATCTTTCCATATTACAATCATCTTAAATTTCATGTGTCATTATAGAAAGGAAATGAAGTATTACACTTTTGCTTTCGTTTTATCAGTTCTAGTAATTTTATATTGATCTTTACATTGATCATATTGATTACTTTGAAGTATAGTGGTGTGTAGTACCAGACAGGGTAGTATTTTTAATAATGAAAATATGGTGAATCTCTTTTTGCAGGAGTTTTGATGTTGGGCTGCATCGCTTTCTGGTCAGGTAAGCTAATGCTTATTTTGAATTACATTACATATTAAAATATATTTCTGTTATAACTAGAAATAGCCATATGAACCCAATTCTGCTTGATATTTCCTTTGTCTTCCATTTATATGTTAGTTTGAGAAATTTTAGCTATTTGGCTTGGATATCTACTCAGTGTCACTCCCTAAGGAACCTATTCAGATGCCCTTCATGAAAACCTTGACTCAAGAAACTTCAGTGGCAATATTTTACTCATTCCTGAGGAAATCTTAGTTTTTCTTGTACTGAAGAAAAACTAAGAGTATTTTTTGTTTGGTTGGGGTTTTTTTTGTGGATGTGTATTTTTCCCCCCACTGGTAACTCAAGTAATAAGACCTTGAGTTTTATAGAAAATTGTGATTGTGGAAGGCAGTTTTAGTTTCTCAATAGGAAACTTGATTGATTCAAGACTGTGTTCTGAAGATGAATAAGAAAAGTGGGATAATTGTTGTGTGTTTTGTTTCCTGACATTTAGAGGAATGAAGTAGTTAAAGCAGGGCACTTCAACAAGAAAAGGGAGGTTAATGCATTTGAATGCTACACTGAGGAACTGATTTTGCTGCTTGGAGTTTCTTTGTGTGAGCAGTGTTACAGATGTTCGGTAGAAATGTGTTTGTATTCATTTTTAATAACAAACTGTCACTATCTACTGATCTTTACAAAGTGTGATGCATACTATGAAAGATGAAACTTGCTGTGATCTTCAGGTCCTTAGAGAGTTCATTCTATTTATTTCATCCCACTAAAATAGTGTGAGATCCCTCTGTGAAGAACTTTACCTTGGAAGTATGAACCCAGTATGTAACCCATGCTGTAAAGGTAATGTAACCCCACTGTAAGGGTCACAGAATCACAGAATGTCAGGGGTTGGAAGGGGCCTCAAAAGATCATCTCGTCCAGCCCCCCTGCCAGAGCAGGATCACCTACAGCAGGTCACATAGGAATGCATCCAGGCAGGTTTTGAATGTCTCCAGAGAAGGAGCCTCCACAACCTCCCTGGGCAGCCTGTGCCAGTGCTCTGTCACCCTCACAGTGAAAAAGTTTTTCTAATATTTTTTGTGGAACCTCCTATGTTCCAGCTTGTATCCGTTGCCCCTTGTCCTGTCATTGGACATCCCTGAGAAGAGCCTCACTCTGTCCTCCTGACACTCCCCCTTGACATATTTATAAACATTAATGAAGTCACCCCTCAGCCTCCTCTTCTCCAAGCTAAAGAGATCCAGCTCCTTCAGCCTTTCCTCATAAGGGAGATGTTCCACTCCCTTCATCATCTCTGTGGCTCTGCGCTGGACTCTCTCCAGCAGTTCCCTGTCTCTCTTGAGCTGAAGGGCCCAGATGTGGCCTCACTAGGGCAGAGTAAAGGGGCAGGAGGACCTCTCAGGTGGCCTTAGGCTTCCCTTGATTTGGCCTCACTACTGAACTTGTTATTTTAAACTTTGTGATATTTCCTGGGTAGAGACACTAAGCCTTCACACTCAAAGTCCTTTTGGCCTTAATGCTGAGGGTTTTGGCACTGATTCATGGTGTCCTAGAGCTCTGATAGGTTGGTTGCATCTGTTTGCTTTTTTTGGTACTCTGGTCACTCAGTTGAGGGATCATTTTCTAACATTTTCAGAACCCTGCTAATAGCTCTTAAGTGTAACTAGTAAAAGCATACAGTTCCAGACAGTGACAAATGCCTAGATGCATTTCTCTTCTTGCACTTAGCATTACTTCTAAGTGTTCTTTTCACTATGTCCTCTGAATTTTTTAAGATGCCCCTTTCAGATTCATCTTCTCTAGATTATCAGTACTATAGCTAAATCTAGGAAAAGATGGTAAATCTCTGTCCAAGGTCTGTGTCCTAACTGGACAATAATACAAAGGGTATACCTTGGAGGAAAGAATACTGGGTGGTATCATCTTGAATGTGATGCTTTTGTGGTTTACACTAAATACGAAAAAACATAAGATACGAGATCACACAAAACTTACATTAAAGGAAATACCAGGTTTGTTTTAAAGTTGCCCAGGCAAACTTTTGTCCTGATACCTCATAACTTTTGAGAAGTAGGCTTTCTAACATTAGAGTTATTTTACTTATTTTTTTGCATGTAATGTGACAGCTTTTAACAAATAGTTCTCTTCACTAAAGCCAAAGAAGTGTCAATATTGCTGAAGATAGCTGTGTTTAAGTGTGTAGATACATTCACTAGTCTGAAAACTGTAATTAAGTTCTGGTATCGGTTCTGCAAAATTAGTTTTATCTATACTTTGACCAGCAGATGGATTATTCTTTTAATATAGTGATATTATAAGAAATGGAAATAATCATATTAAGAAATAGTTTAGAAGTGTGCTACTGTTGTAAAGGGAATACAGGCAACTACGTAACCAAGAACAGAATCATGGTAAATATCAAAGTACTAAGTTTGAGCCTCTGGTGATTTCTGCCACAAAATATGCTTTTACTTGCTTCATGCAGATAATGTAATAAGATACTATTCTCGTAGACTACATTGTTTTACGTGCTTTGGAAATGTGTGCTTTTGTAATCCCTGGACCTCAAATACCCATTGAATTTGAATAAGTTGAATGTTGTTCTCTTTGACTAATATCTTTTCCCTTGCCAAAGCCAAATGGGGATTCTCTGAAGGGGGGTGTTCTAACCTTAGCTTTAATGCTTCATTCTCAGTCTGTCACCTATCCCTCTTAACAATTTGAGGAGCCATCAGATACTTCTTCAGTAACTGTGCTGCTAAGGAGGAAGTAGTGTTCCCCTCTGTTGCAGCAGTGTGAGTTTTACTTATATTTCCTTAACTAAAATCTTTTCTTTGTTTAGTAGATGATTTTTGGTCTAGAAAAGGGAGACTTGGTGTTACATCTCTTCTGTTGGTGTGCTGTGTGACCTTTAGAAAGTTATTGCCTTTGTTTTTTGGCTGTTTAGACAGTCTCCTGAGAAACTGCACATCATCTTCTGGGTTCATATAGTGTCTGTATGGTCCCTTTCACAGTTTGGGGTTCTGTGTGTGAAATGCAAATGGAGGTGAGAAAAGAACCACAAACAAACCCAAACAAACCAGAGTGTCAGGAAATGTTGAAAATCTATGAATAGAGATTTGAAATGTTAAGAGATAATGTATTTCAAATATAGTGATGCCACGCTACAGTGGAACAGATGCGGGGCCAGCAAAACTAAAAGCAGTCTCTGCTAAAAGGACAATCTATATACTTATTAAAATGCTGAAGGGCAGAGGAATGTATGTAGCCCGACATACATAGTTGGTGACTTGCCCAAGTGAGGCATTACACTAAATATAACAGAGAATTACAGCTACGCAGTTTCTGTGTTCTTAGCAAAAAATACTGATTTTTATCTGTCTAGCTGTGGCTTGAACTATGCTTCTGATAATGATTTTAAAGATAGCTCAGAAAGGTTTGGAAATCCCAGCTCTTCATTGTGACTATAGGCAAAACCCTGTTTTTCCTGAATACTGTAAGCATTCTCAGGATAGAGCAATGAGTGTGTTTTCAGTGTTCAAAATGCATAAAAATAGTCTTTGGGGTAGCAGTTCAGAGGGGAAAGAACAAGAGGGCAACCTGGTGCTACTATTTTATCCAGGCATTTCATCTGGTGCTTAGAACAGGGCATCGGATGAAATAAATCTGTGAACATACGAGAATGTTTATTGTCCTAATGCCAGACAGTCCTTCCTGTAGGGGAAACACTGATGAGGGCAGTGGAGAAGAATGGCAGTTCCTAGAGGCATGATCCCTTTGAAAAAAAACTTGCACTTCCAGCACTGCTGTGCCTTTGAAAAAGCGTGAATCATACTCATTTCAGTACAGCTCTGGCTTTGGAAAGAGCTGCAGGACCATATGCCTCTAGTGTCTCCTAAAGGTGTCCATCTCCCCATGTGTTGCCTGATCTAGTCGAGAGGTGGCGTCCCTGCCCATGACAGGGAGAATGGATTAAATGATTAAGGTCCCTTCCAGCCTAGACCATTCTCTGATTCTGTGATGGTTGATCTGTTAGCAGTGCTCGCAGCTCACCCCGTAGTTTGCGATTGCTTTAACTTGTTTAGAGTTGCAGGTTATTTAAGGTTAGGGTATTACCTGGTGCAAAGGTTCTCCAAATACAAAACTTGAAAATGATCCCTTTTCCTGTATTTCTCAGGTAAAGCCAAGACGTTGTTTAGCTCTGGAGTCAAAATTTAGTATGTGTTGCCATGTGTATTGATTTTGAGTTAGAAATATGGCACCTCCATGTAAGGGCAGAATGGGATTATGATTCTAAATAAGGTACACTTATGAAAGAAGATAAAGAAAAGTCTGTTCATCAGCTGACTCGGCTCTTGTTTTCATTCTCTCTGGAATCTCATAGGACTCTGTGTATTTCTATGCTACCCGAAAAATAATATTATGACGATGTTAATGAACTATCTGGTAACTGTTCTAAGTTTGGTGGTTTTTTTTAATGTCAGGTTTTTTTTCTTTGATGTTCTGGTAACTGAGATCAGTTCCTGTGAGGTCAAATTTCTGAAGTGCAAACACTTTCTTCCAAAAGATATCATAACTCTTGACTGAGGTGGTGAGAAGATACTAGCTAAGTGTAACCCCTGTGGGAAGTGCAGACTTGCTGAAAAGCTCAACAATATTCAAGCCATCCTAAGCTTGAGGAGATTTGTGCCTGTGCTTAAAAACCCATCAAACAAAACCCAGTTCTTGTTATCACTGTCTAAAAAACAAAAGAACACCCCAAAACCACATCCTAATAAAAAACCCAAAACCTATACGAAAAACCAGCACACCAACAAAATAGCACTTCTGAGCTTTTCCTGCTCTGACCCACCAAGGTTGTGGAAAGTCAACGTCTGATGCAATAGTTCCTTTCACTTTGTGTCCCTCCTCTCTCTGATCTGGGCTCCAGCAGCTGGACACAGATTCCCTGCTTGGGTGCCACATGGGATGCAGTGTAAAGCCTGGCCCTCTTCTGG